AAAAAAAAAAAAAAAAAAGCAAAGTATGTGGTCAATGCATTGCAAATGGTTGCATACTAGCTGTAAATGGAGTATGCTTCTATGATGCTTTTCTTTTCATTGCCAGTGTTTGCATGCATGTCTGAGCGTGTGTTGCAAGCGTGTCTTCACCTGTTGTATTTCACAGCCAGGCCCAGATCAGCGATGCAGCAGGTGCCATTCTTCTTTATGAGGATGTTTTTGCTCTTCAGGTCTCTGTGAGCGATGGCAGGTTTGCCCTGCGTGCCGTAGATCTCTGTGTGGAGGTGGCACAGGCCGCAGGCTGCAGAATAGGCCAGCCTCAGCAGAGCCTGTGTGTCCAGGGTGGTGTATTTCAGATAATCATAGAGAGAACCGTTCTCATGGTAGTCCGTAATGAGGAAAAGCTGCGTGAATGCGCCCGTGCCCTTAATATCTGCAGCTATAAAGCCTGGAGCAAGATAGGAAGAATGAGTGTGAATGTTAAAAAGAAAGGCACAACACAATCACAGCAGCAATCATACAGAAATAGAGGCATTAAATAAAATATAAAATCTGTAAAAGTTTTATATCAGGGTACAATACTACAAAAAAAATCTACCTTGAACCAGCTAAATGTTTCTTTGTCCCTTCATATTAAAATATTTTGAATAAAATTAAAATGTAACATACATGTTTGACTAATGATATCATAATGGTATCATATCAAATAATTAAAATGCATATATCCAATATGTAATCGGGGTCCCTACTGATTTTGGCCTATTTTAGTGATGGAACTTACCAAGTATATTTTCGTGCCTCATGAGCACCGTTTGGTAAATCTCTGTCTCTCTGAACCAACTTGCCTCTTCACGAGTAAAGAACACTTTCACTGCCACCTTTTCTCCTCTCCAGCGACCAAGCCACACTTCTCCATACCGCCCCTTCCCGATTTGACGTACCATCTGAATTTGTTTAGCAATAGTGCGCTGGACCTGTGAATCGACATAATTGGACAACCATGTATCATAATGGAGAAAAGTTGCAAAAAAAAAAAAAAATTAGATCTGAGCATAACTACAAACATTGATACTGTCTAAAGAAATTTCCATTACCTTTCCCTGACGGTTTTTTTAAATGAATTAAATTATTTATTTACTTTATTAATTTTTATAGCTGGAAACCACAATTTTAAAATTCTCTGAAATTTTAGTCAAATCCTGTTCTTATTATGAAAAACATGTACAGTGCCTCACCAGCAGGGGGAGCCCTGAACCAGAGCCAGTGCTCGACTGACTAATAAGATCTTTGAGAGACTCTCCTGCAGGGATGAAGGCCTCATCCTGCTCCAGATCTCTCTGGTACCGTCTCCGTCCCGTCTGCAGCTTATACCTGATCAAACAGCCACACAGATCATATAATCACCTTCAATGTGATGTTACATCACAGAAGCCATTCCACAAAGGGATCAGTAACATTACAGATCAGTAACTACTAGAGCTACAGTATGTATCCATGCATTAAGGTCAAACATAAAAGGTGCTAAATTTACTTGACTATCTTAAACAGGTGTGACTCTGCCAGTGTTATCAGTGAGCTAGACAATAATTAACAGACTGAGGTGCATCTTTCATACATTTCAGCTGGATAAACATGTCATTATGAAATAAAAGTCTCACCTGTAGTAACAAACCACAGTTATGGCTACCAAAGTGAAGCAACACACTGTCACCGAGATCAGGAAGGCTAGCAAGTGGGCATTCCATAACGGAGGCTCTGGATTACAAAGAGATCACAAACTTAAAAAAATGATAATAATAAGAAATCAGCATATTAGAATTATTTCTGAAGGATCATGTGACACTGAAGACTAAAGTAATCACTGCTGAAAATTCAGCTTAGCCATTACAGGAATAAACTATATTTTAAAATATTACTAAAAAAGAAAACCATTATTTTAAATTGTTACAATATTTAAAAATATTAGTTTTTAATGTAATGTAATAAGCAAAATAGACTTCTTTCAAAGATATAAAAAAAATCTTACAGACTCCAAACGTTTGAACACAAGTGTGTATATACACACAAATATATTTATTATATTTAGATTCTTTTTAAGTGACGTGCAACTTACTTCCTGGAATATGAGGTGGAAGTGTGGGTTGAAGGTCTCTATTACAGAAATCAGTGGAACAGCACTCAATGGTCCGTCTGGTCTGAGCATTAGGAGAGTCCTGGACAACAATTACCACATTCAGTCAATGATAATGCCTCAGCACTTAAACATTTATTCTTCACTCTGCCGTTCATGTATTACCTTGCACTGGAAGTGAGAGCCCTCATACTTCATGCAGCCAGAGGTGAGGATAGCCTCGCCATGCTCATCCTCCTCTATGATAGCAAAACACTGGCCGTTCGTCCTGCGTAAACACACAAAGACCGTTTAATCACTGTGTTCACATTTAGATGAGAAGTTAAAGGAAGTGGAAAGTGGCTGGTGTGAACAGCAGGAAAAGCATACAGTGTACTCACACGCAGGTGTTGTTCGTGGCATCTTCGGGGCAGTGGCCTGAGCAGTAGCAGCTAAGGAAGCGGGCAGCATCCTCTGGGGCCACGGTGGACCCGTCCCCTGCCTGGGGTCTCTTTGGATCCGATCCGGGCTTGACTCCAGTGCCATGAAGCATGTAGTCTGGGTTCTGCCCACCTAGATGGGTTGAAATATGTGACATCAGATTTTAGACTGCCTAGAATGTAACTGTCTCTAATAAAATCATCATTATTGCTCATTATTACGCAAACACTGAGTCATATCAAACATTTTATTAAAGCAGTAAAACTGTAAATCAAAACCAAACCACACTGGGCCACTTGGAAACAAAAACCCTCTTATTCACTTCATGTTGTGCTAAATTATACTGGAAGGAAT